CACAACTATCATCTATTATTACTGATTTTGTGCGATTTATATTCATATGCAAACACAAATGTTCAGCTCTGTCTTTTCTGTTGATGTTTTATGGGCTGATTATGCCACATTTACTAAACAGGGCAAATTAGTATGAGAGCACAAGCCCATGAAAGCACCCATGAGAGTGGAAGGTTTTTGTGCATAAAACCAGTGCAAATTAGCTCCAAACATGCAAAGCTTATGACAATGATAGGTTAGAGGTAATTTAGCATTTATAAAGGTACAGAATAGGCTAAAGTTTGCTTTTAAGGGACAAAAATAGATGTAAACTGACCATTCACATTGCTTAATTTAAGTTTGTACAGTATGACAGCAGAATGTGTGGATATATATTAACTACTTATTTAAAATAAGCTAAATCAACACAATTCTTCGCTGTTTTTGGTACGGCTTAATTGTTATGTTCAATCCATTTAAACTTGTAAAAACAATTAGGCAAATTAAATTTATTTGTGTTGTGACCATACCTGTCAACATTGGGATGTGAAAATAAGGGATTCCCCCCGTCAACACCTACCCCAACCCTTAACCCAACCATCACAGTTGTTAAAGGGCCACGAAACCAGCCTGTTTCAGCAGAGTGTTTTCACACCTCTAGTTTGGAAAAAGTCAGGAAAGAGTCCAGCTCTGTAGTTATCTTCATAGAAAGATAAAAAAAAATATGGGAAACCTATACGGGATGATAACGATTGCAAAATATAGGAGAATTCCAGAAAAAAACGAGAGGGTTTGCAGGTATGGTTGGGACAACATGAAGGAATTGTGTGGATCCTGGTATACAGCGCTCAGTATATATATTTATACATATATATATATATATAGTACTCCTCACAAATCTCTCCGAGTTTACATGTAGCTTATGATTGATTATAAAGCTTGTTTGGCATGCTGTCCCGAGAAGAGAGCTCAGAGCTTATAAGTTTCTCGAGCCCAGGGCTCCCTCCTGTTTGCAAGGCGAGAGGGGAGTTTGAGCTTGGGTAGATCTCAAGAACTCTCCTCCTGTAATAAACAGATAGTGATTGCTCTTAAGAGATAACTACTTACTAGCATGTCTATGGTGCTGATCTGGATTAGTCAATTAACTTAAATTGCATGTTTTTGGACGGTGGGAGGAAACAAGGGGGCCCATGTGTAATTTGCATAGATTTCTATGTATAAGATTTTATAGGCTTTGAAAACATGCCAGCTTTTTTGTCATTTCATAAAGAAATATTGTAACTATTTTAGAAAATAATGTCATAATTGTTTTACTCAAACACGCATAGCTGTACTGTATATCATAAATCCAGAAAAAATGTTTGTTAATGTTTTCCATATTGGTGTAATTACAGAAGACAGAGAGTTTCAGCTAATGTGTTTCAGTTATCATTACTGCGATGGAAAACTCATCAAAATACACTCAAAAACAGAAACTCGCAATCCCTGTACAATCTCCCTCAGTGATATCATTCATAAACACTCATGCACGCATTCACACATTATGGTGGTTTATGCGGAGTCTTTATAGTCTTTATGTATTTTATACTGTATATATATATATATATATATATACCGGCGAAATACGAAATATTCCTTAGGGATTTTGGTCCATATTAAGGGGTCCATACATGTATTGGACTACAGTGAACTATATATATACACACTGCACGCATATATATTATGTCAAAACACAATTTTATTTTGGATGCAATTAATCATGAGTAATCTTTTCCCAACGCACGCACGCACACACACGCACACACACACACACACACACACACACACACACACACACACACACACACACACACACACACACACACACACACACAAACATTGTGACCTTACCCCACCCCTAATGGCATTTTTTTTTTTATATCAAAAGCATTTTTAAAGTGTTTTGAATTATGAGGACACATGGAAAGTCCTCATAAACCACATTAACATTTATACCCAAGTCAAATCAATAGCTATGATTCCGTCCACCTATTTTTTATGTGCATTTTGCATGTGCGCATAAAAAAAACTGGTTGATTGAAACGCCAAGATGCGCATAAATTTAGAAAATGCACATAAAAAATGTATGCACATAACTGAGTAGGATAAACGTTTTATTCGAAAAGAAAAGATGCGAATAAACTGCGATGGAAACACTTTTACCGCACAAACTCCAGCATGCGCATTAAAAAAAGTCATGTGATTTTGTTATAAGAGCATTTGATGATTAAAATGTGTGTGAATGGACAAACCGTCAGACTGATCACACCGTAAAACATCTGTAATTTTGTTTTGGCCATTCTTAAATGCTTTACTGTTTCAGTATTAGTGTTGTTAAATTATTAATGACCTGCAGAATCAAGAGCGTCTGTGCTCCGCATCTGGCACCTTCAAACGCCACCACGTGTTCACTGCGTGTCAGGATTGCCTTCTGAGGCGCAAGTCATTTATTAGATGAAGTAAAGATTGACGCAGCTTCTCCTATCGCAGCAATTTCAGCTTTTACTGTTTATATTCAGCGCCAGTTAATCAGGAAGTGACGATTTTGTTCGCTTTGACTTGTTGGATGGAAACACTGCTTAATTTGCACGTCTTTTATGCGATAACCCAGTTTTAATCATAAAGTTCTTTCGCATTTTTAGATGGAAACATAGCTAATGTCATAATACAAATTTGTGTCCTCATAAACCATTATTACTTATACACACACTTGTACAGCTATCTTTATGGGGACTTCCCATAAATGTACTGGTTTTACTCTGCCCTACACCTAAACCAACCCTCAAAAGAGACAATCTGCATGCTGACATTTTCAAAATGCTTCATCTGCTGTGATTTATGAGTTGTTTTCCACATGGGGACCTAAAAATGCTCATCAAGGTCAAAATTGACTGGTGATGCTCTACTTTGACGAATACATGATAGACTTGTCCTCTTGTCCTTGTTGTTTATGTGTAAAAAGCTGTTTCTAGAAAAGCTCCTCCTCCTCCACACACACACACACACACTCCCACAGACAGCACTCCATCTGATCTGAAAAGCTCAGCGATGGTGACGTCTGTTCAGACACGTGCTCACAGCATGACGCTCTCCGCTCGCAAACTCACGGCTCATTTAAAGGCCATCAACAGATATTTTATTCATGCGAAAGAAAGGCTTCGTTGTTTGGGCTGCGGTGAAATGTTTGTGAATGCGCTCTGTCAGAGAATGTTGTGAAACTTATTTTGAACTGAAATTCATGTTACATGATGTTTTGTAGATTTATTTTGTTATTGTTAGTTATTATTATAAGTTATTATTAACTTATTTTGTTATTAAAGCTGTTATTATTTATTATCTTTTAAAGCTGCTGTCATCAATCACTTCAAGTTCTAACTGTACTGTAAACTGGGTTGCCAGATCCTAGAAAATAACCCAGAACTCAAAACGCAGCCAAGAGGAATGAAAAGTAGCCAATTTTTTTTCCTTCATCCAGAGTTGCTGGAGTCCAACAAAGGGAACTGTTTATCATATTTTCTCTGATATTTTGTAATACATGCAGTATACTTGTAGATAACTAGGGGTGCAACAATACAGACTTCTCACGGTTCAGTTTTAGGGGTCACGGTCTCGGTTCGGTTTGTTATGTTTGGTTTGGAAAGTGTCCCTATAACTTTTGTGCACACTAATGGGACATTTACTCGCAGGGAGCCTTGTTTCAGCTCATGGACATACATTCTAACATGAAGAGCATTTAGAGATTAGTTAAAAGAAAGAACATTCAAAATGATTAGGCCTCCTTTTTTTATTTGTCAAATCTTTTCTAAATAATGTTTAACAGAACAAGGAATTTTTCACAGTATGTCCTATAATGTTATTTATTTTGGAGAAAGTCTTATTTGTTTTATTTCAGCTAGAATAAAAGCAGTTTTTTTTTTTTCTCCTCCATTTCTTGGGTCCAAATAATCTGAAAATGAGCGCTTTTGACTTCCCCTCAGCCTCCCTCTGGCCTGCAGGTAACCACGCTAGTGAATGCTGCTCTCTCATTGACTAGTTGATCGCTGATATTATTATTAGTCAAAACTCATTTCACAAGGCAGGATTTGAATCGCCGATAGCTTCAGATGTTTAGCACGCCAAATATCTGACAGGCATCGGCAACTCATTGGCGATTCGCATCTTTGATAGTTTACACTATGTGATTGTCACGTGAACAAGCACCGATTTATCTGTGATTTCAGGTATTGTCAGAAATTTCTCAAAACCTGTAGGCGAGTCAAAATCGGGGCTAAAATCATGCAGTCTTAAATCGGCATTAGGTAACTAATTATTTTTATTGGAACTTCAACTTTGCTTTGGCTTAGTCTCTATTTCCAGACATCCCAAGTCTCCCGAAAGTATATGCATATGCATAGAGACTCCTGGATGCCCAAAAACAAATGATAATCTCCTGGAAACCCCCCTACCACCCCTCTGTCTCTACAAATACGTTGCGCACCCCAAACCCTCCAACCCCCACTCTTCAGATACGTTGCGTAAGACCACCTTCCCTCCCTGCACCCAATTTCAGTCAAATTATCTATGTCCCCCTACCGGAAATGACTTTTCCCAACTTGGGATGTCTGTATTTCGGTGGTCCACATAGCGGAATAAACCACCAACTATTCCAGCATATTTTTTACACAGCTGATGTCCTTCCAGCCGCAACACAGTACTGGGAAGCACCCATACACACTCATACACTACAGCCAAATCAGTTCATCCAATTCATCTATACCGCATGTCTTTGGACTGTGGGGGAAACCGGAGCACCCGAACTGCCAACAGAAATGCCATACGGTCCAGCCGAGACTCGAACAGGCAACCTTCTTGCTGTGAGCTTAACCACTGAGCCACTGTGCCGCCCATTGCAACTGAAGATGCATTATGCTGACAGTAATAGTGATCTTTGATTTGCTTTTGTGCACTACATTAATGTTTTTTTTTTCTCTTCTACCCAACAGCAAAACTCGGACACCAACGGCAACCTGCGGAAACGTGTCAACTCCAACATTCAGCCTCAAGCAGAGTCCAAGAAAACCCAAAGAACCGAAGCCTCAAGCAAAAGCGGCGCATCCTCGTCCAAACCAACTCTGACCAGCCAATCATCTTCCACCTCAGAAGGTACCAGCAGTTTCTCCAGCCAATCGCGTCTTAGCCCCAGTTCCGCCAGCCAATCGAATGCAGCCGCTTCCTCCTCCTCTGCCTCAAAGACCACGCCTCCGGCTCCACCCTCTACACCCACAGTTCCTGACAAACCATCGCCCGGGACGACCCCCGCAGGCTCCGCCCCTCTTCACCACCTCCTCGGGCCTAAATTAGAGAATATCAAAAAGAAAGAAGCAAAGGCTCAACCTCAGCCTGCCGCCCCTGCCACTGGAGGAGCCAGCAAGATCGACGAATATGCACGCATTTTATTCCCAGTGTCCTTCGGGGCGTTTAACATGGTGTACTGGGTGGTTTACTTATCCAAAGACACCATGGAGGCCAAGGGAGCCTAACAAGCTTGGATGTTTGTACCCTTTTTTTTTTTCTACAACAATGATATCTTAAGGATTACGTCAACTGTTGTTCCAAGCAATTCCAATTATATCATGGCAGACGAAACTGGATATTGGAAATGTACTTTTTTTTGGATTATCAAAAGGGCCGTACACAAGATTAAGCATGTGGATATATTATACTAAGTAAAAATCGTTTAATTAATACAAACAGAAATACTATCCAAGCAATCTCTCACTGGAATGAATCTTAGACTTCTTTGTTGTCTGTTCGAAGAGCCATATTTCCAGTCTGTCCTGTTTATCTCTGGACACACTGAAGAAGAAACAATACAACTGAATGGAAAAACCAATACCAGGGGTCTGTTCAGTCTATTTTTATATTGAGACCCTTCCAGAGGAATCCTTCATCGGGAAACCCAACGGATTTGAACTGATCTGCCAAGAAGACGTATTTCTGACGTAATACGCAGCATATTTCTTTCGTAATTTCAAACCGCGTCACGATGTATGTAATCTATCAGGCATGAATGGCATATCTATGCTGCGATCTCTCCCTGAGAGCAAATGTTGGAACGGAGCAAGTCCTGATTGCTGAATAACATATGCATGTCTTTTATTTTTTAAAGAGACTTAAAAACGAAAAAAAAAAAAAGAAACTGTCGTTTTAGATTAAGTCGTTAAAGCACAAACGATGCATTTTTTTCTCTCTTTGTTTTTAAAGTTGAATGGCTTGATTTTAGTTTAGTTCCATTGGGGTTTCGTTTTATTACTATTATTATTATTATTATTATTATTATTGGAGTATATTTTTGTCTTATAGCTGATACATTCTTCACATTCTCCTCACGTGTGACACAAGCGAATGAAGCACATGCCGCACATGGTCCAGAAGGTTCTGGAGTCGTTTACAACAGTCAGAGGGTCAAACAGACTGATGTTGTCATAGAAAAACTGCAGGACGATGACAAAAATCTCCACCAATCTTCATAGGGCTGTTTATTATTTGTATGTATACCTAAATAACGATAGTTCGAGGTCTTCATTACCCACCAGTCATTGATTGTCATAAAAAGTCAATGCTTAAGGAATAGATTTGAAGTCGAGAAAATGTCAAATAATAAGCACCACATGAGATGACTTTCAAAGGTGTATGCTAGCTTTGTGTGAGAGAGTGAATATCGGGGCACTTACATGACAGTTTTGAACTAAAAGTGGAAAACTTTTTATGTGCTCTGTCCATAAAAATAGCATTTTGGGGACTTGAAAATGGTAATGTTTTTGAAAAGGGTTTTTAAGTCTAGGTTTTTTCAAACAATACCACCATGTAAACCATAAAAAATAGAGATTACAACTTTTATCCATGTGCTATTACTTGACAACCAAAACAACAATGGTAGACTGGAGCAGTGGTTCTCAAAGTAGGGGTCGGGACCCCCTGGGGGGTCGCGGGACAATGAGAGGGGGTCGCTTGGTGATTCACAAAAATCTAATAAATTTGAGTAAACTTTTATGATTACCATTGTTAATCCATAACCTACAGAAGATAAAAAATAGCTACATAAAAATTAAATATCCAAAAAAAAAAGCCATCAGCCTTTGTTTTTTTATTTTTATTTTATTTTTTTTACATTGATTGCAACCCTTAGGATTTTTACATTAGATTAATGACAAAGCAATAGCGTCAGTGCACCAGATTTTACAGCACTAGCTAAACTTTCTGACATCGTTACAGAACTCGCGTACATTTAAAATACATACAGGACACTAAACATGGAGGATGATGTGTAAGTGGCAGTCTCCAAATTTAAACCAAGAAAAGACTTGGGATGTAACTTAAATATTGTGCCCACCAGTCTAATTAGATGAGTTAATATAAAGTAATAATAATATAAATGATATGGGACTGTTGCACTTTTTTGTGTTGTCAATATACTTGTGTTTATATAGGCTGATTGGTTTGTGTGAGTGTTGTGTGCAACGTTTGTATGATTATAACCACTTATGAAAATAGTGGGGGTCGCGAGTCATTGGCATTGTTATTTTGGGGGTCCCGGGCTGAAAAGTTTGAGAACCCCTGGACTAGAGGACTCTCACTGTGTTCCATCTTTAAAGGCTCATTCCTATGCCCTAATCCTAGTAAATATTCACCCTCCAAGACTGAAGTGTCCATCAATTGTGCTTTTCAAAATCTTTCATTTCAAACAGCCCTGCAAAGTGGCCATTTTTGAGCACTTTGGTTTGGAACGACACTTCAATATGGCAGCCATGATTGTTTTTATTCCAAAGTGCCATTCTGAGGGTGACTTATGATTGGAACACACCATGTTTTTTTATTTTAGTTTAGTTTTTTGATGAAATCATCATCTCCTAGAATTTTTTTCAGCTTTTAGCACTTTGTTGTCATGTAAATGTACCCTTACTCCTTTTCCTCCATTGACTTAAATAGGATTTGACAAGTTAATCAAATAAATAAGAGTTTCAATGGATTTGTTTTATCACACGGAGCTCTTGTATGACCCCAGAAGCATATTTTAGAGCAGTGGTCCCCAACCACCGGAACAATTGGTACCGGGCCACATAAGAAATCATAAATTATTTCTGTAGAAAATATCCCCACGCGACTTGGTTTCTTCCACTCACCCCCGCCATCTCACGTGAAATGGACTATGCCAAAATCCACCACGGAGCGGATAGAATCGCTGGAATATAGCTCAGCGGTGGTTGTTGATAGTTTAAAGTTATAGAACCGGTATTATAGAGTCCAAATCAGCAGAGCATTAAAGGATTGTGCATATATGTTTTTGTGCATCGCTAAGTAAGTACCCGAAATCATTGCAATATGTATCTATATGGAGTTTCACATAATCATACTCATTAGGGCTATAACATGCCAATGCATACATTTAATTCGGCTGCACGGTTGTATTATTGTTAATAGCCCTGCTGAAAAATCCAGCTTAAACCAGCCTAGGCTGGTTGGCTGGTTTTAGCTGGTCGACCAGGCTGGTTTTAGAGGGGTTTTGGCTATTTCCAGGCTGGTTTCCAGCCATTTCCAGCCTGGTCTTAGCTGGTCAGGCTGGGAGATGACCAGCTAAAACCAGCTTGACCAGCCTAGCCAGGCTGGGAGCCCAGCCAAAACCAGCTATGTCCAGCTTAAACCAGGCTGGTCAAGCTGGTTTTAGCTGGATTTAGCTGGTCATTTTCCAGCCTGACCAGCTAAGACCAGGCTGGAAATGGCTGGAAACCAGCCTGGAAATGGCCAAAACCCCTCTAAAACCAGCCTGGTTGACCAGCTAAAACCAGCCAACCAGCCTAGGCTGGTTTAAGCTGGATTTTTCAGCAGGGTTGGTTCGTCAGTTGAAATGTTTGGCACAGATGTTATGTATTTGATGCATATAAACCTTGAATGAAGCATAATCAGACCGCGATAGGGCAACTATGCACTGAGTTGTTCATTATTAACCTTAATGCACGAGCGCAGCAGCTGTGTTCACGTAAAGACAACCCCCCCCTCACACCCTCCCCCGGCCCACACCGGTCCGTTGTAAAATTGACAATCGTTGACTGGTCCGCGTTGATAAAAAGCTTGGGGACCACTGCTTTAGAGCTGTATTTTGGAGCTTGACATCACTTTACTAAATGAAGGTGCCAAAATATGGGGGTTTTCTTTTCAGTGATGCCACAGAGGAACTATTTATTTTCAATCCTAAAATAACTTTTTAGTGTATTTTTGTTAGTTTTTTTTGAGGATGACAAGCCTTTTTATAATCTAATGCATCTTTATTCCATTCCTTAGAACCTTTTGTGCATTGAAAGGTTTCCTTTAATGTTAAAAGCCATTCACAAAACCACAGATCCAACAAAGAATGTCTTTTTTTTCCTTTTCATTGTATGGAAAGATTGAGAAAAACGAGAGGAGGAAAATGTCTGTAGTTTGTGTTCCAAAGTAGGAAGAAATGCTGGGTTCAGACGATGTGATGTTTGTGTCTGTTATGGTAGTCAAACAAAAAAACAAGCTAGTGTTTCTGTCAGGACGTCCCAGAGGCTGCATTGATTGTTACGTATTACTGACAGACTCTACATGAGACAAACTGACTGATTCTTCTGTCCTGATGCCATTGTTGCTCACTTAAAGGGATAGTTCACCCCAAAACATGACAAATCGCTTACTATTTGCGTACCCTCAAGTGGTTTCAAACATTTATGAGTTTCTTTCTTCTGATGAACAGAAAAGACGTTCTGAAGAAAGCTGAAAACCATTGACTTCTATTTTAAGAAAAGCAGATGCTGTGAAAGCCAGGTTTTCAGCTTTCTACAAAATATCTCCTTTTGTGTGTTTTTTATTTATGAGTACTTTATAAAACAGGGTTTCCGCAGGGTCCTAAAAAGTCTTAAATTCGCTGTTCTAGGTCCTAGTTATTTTTGCACAGGTCTTTTTTTTCTTTTCTTTTTTATGATTATTTATTTATTGCAGAACAAAGCCAGCATACATAGCTAGCAACAACTATATACTAGACAGGGTTTGCATTACATGAAAATACATAAAGAAAATACAAATAATAATAATAATAATAGTAAAATAAAGACAATAAAATAATAAATAAATAACAATACACAGAGAAAAAAAAGCTCTGGGGTGAGAATTAATTAGTTATTATATAAGAAATTTTCTCAATAAAATCAGACCATGCTTTGATTATGGGGTTTAGCTCTGTTAATTCTTGCAGTGGAACGTTCCAACAGTTCTATATTTTTTAGTTCAATAAGCCACTTTTTATCTGCTGGGAATGAGGGTTCATGCCATATTTTAAACATAACCTTCTTGGCTGCAGTTAGTGCAGTCTGAAATATCCTGCGTTGTGAAGTGTTTAGGTTTAGATCATAATCATCATTCAATAAACAGATATTAGGGTAGGCTATTTGGGAATGAACATCTCACATAATTCTGAAATAGTTTGGAATACCTTATCCCAAAATGTACTGACATGCGGACGTTTCTGGAGACCGCGGAATACGTCCTGGCGGTTACGTACGGCTGCAGTTTTTGTTTTTGCGAATCCACAAGAGGCCGCTGTTGTGTGCTTTTTCGCACCTCAGATGCCTCTTGTGAGTGCGGTTCGCGCCCGCGCTGTTCTCGCGTGAACCCACCGGAGGCAGCTGTCCGACTGACCGGATGATTGACTGCGCGACAGGCCAATCGGCCGACCCACCCTCCTCCTTCCCTGAACACAACCAATTTTACCGATCGACCCGCCCGCCCGCCCACTTCCCTAAACCCGAGCAACAGTTTACAAAAGCTGTCCAAAAAAAAATTAAAAGCCCCAATTAATTTTTTTATTTATTTATTTTATTTTTTGTTTTCTACCGCGTTTTCGGATTTCACCGCGTTCTCACCCTGTCACAAAAAATGTTCACTTAATTTTTGGGATTCTGTTTTTGCCTTACCTGATTGCTGGAACTGCTCTTCCCCGGACTCAAAACCGGTCGCCGTGGTCGACTCCACTCTGCATATCGAGCCTGCCGACTTACACGGTGAGCTGAGTCGACAAACAGGTTGCAGTGGGAAAGCCCTCCACAAGGAGGTAAGGCAAGCGCAAAAGGGTACAGCGTCACACCGCCACGCAGCGTTTGCTTGAAAAAAATAAATGCAGC